TGGGGAGTCTTCCTCTGCCCGTCTGGGAGCCTTCTGTCGGGCACAGGGCATCCGCCAGACCCTTCACGCTTCTGGCCTCTGCACAGCAAAATGGGATTGCTGAGCGCCGCATTGGTATGGTCATGGACGTCGCTCGTACGTCCATGATCCATGCAGCTGCCCCCTATTTTCTGTGGCCGTTTGTGGTCCAGTATGCGGCGCATCAGCTCAACCTTCAGCCCCGGGTCTCCTTGCCAAACACTTCCCCCACCTTGCGGTGGACGGGGAAGGTTGGCGATGCGTCTGCGTTTCGGGTCTGGGGATCTCGGGCCTTGGTCCGCGACTTGTCTGCGGACAAGCTGTCTCCTCGTGCTGTTCCCTGCGTCTTCCTTGGCTTCCCCCCTGACGCGCCTGGTTCGCAGTTTTACCACCCCACCTCGCGCCGTGTTTTGTCCTCCGAGGACGTCACCTTTGACAAGTTAGTGCCTTACTACCGTCTCTTCCCCTACCGCGTTGCGCCCCTTCCCCTGCCGCCACTCTTCCTTGTGCCAGGTCCTCCCCCGCTAGACCCCCTCCCCCCTCAGGGTCCTGCCCCGTCAGGTGTGTCCCAGGTAGACGCAGTTGAGCCTCTCGAGGTAGCTGTTGACTCTGGTGCTGCTAGAGATGCTGAGCCTGCGGGTGCCGGGTCTGGAGGTGCTGAGCCTGCGGGTGCTGATTCTGGGGGTGCTGAGCCTGGGGGTGTTGAGACTGGGGGTGCTGAGCCTAGGGGTGCTGAGTCTGGAGGTGCTGAGCCTGGGGGTGCTGAGTCAGGGGGTACGGAGCCTGGGGGTGCGGAGCTTGGGGGTGCGGAGCTTGGGGGTGCTGGGTCTGCTCGTGTGGCCGCCAGCAGTGCTTCGTCGAGGCGGGAGCCACTCTCTCCGTAGGAGCTGCGCGAGTGGTTTGCCCGGCGCTGGAGCCGTGCTGCTGGAGCTGGAGGCACTACTGTTGCTGCTGGTTCCGGAGGTGCTCGTACTGGCGGTTCTAGAGCTGCTTGGACTGGGGGTACTGTTGGAGCTACTAGAGCTGGAGCTACTAGGGGTGTTGGCGTTGATGATTTTGCTGGCGTTGGTGCGTCTGAGGGTGCTAGAGCTGGCGCTGTTGGAGCTGGAGGTGCTGCTGGCGCTGGTGCTGCTGCTGAGGATACTGGTGCCATCCCTGCTGGTTCTGGAGGCGCTACGAGGCCGAGGCTGTACTTCGTTCCGCTCCTTGAGAAAGTTCTTGGTATCCCGCCCTCTACTGGTCCTGCTCCTCCCTTAGAGTGTCCACTGCCCGTCAAGTCGTAGTCACAGTTACAGCCCGCCTCCCCTCTTCCTGCTCCTTCTCCCTACACTGGTCCTACAGGAGGTCTTGTTGAGCGTCGTGAGCCTGAGTCTCGTCCTGACCCTGAGTCTGACTCTCTTCGTACTGCAAGTCCTACTGTCACGCGTCTCCTGGCTACTGTTGTCAGTGACCCTTCCTTTGAGTCCACTACTGCGTCTGCCTTAGTGGCTGAGCTTGTCAACTTCGCTGTTCGCTGTCGTGTAGACTACGCCACTAGTCTTGTTGCTGAGTCCGAGTCTTTCTGTCCTCCGTCTGTCGTGGGTGGGTGTGGTCTTAGCACGGACATCCTTGAGGACAGGCAGGAGGAGTTCCAGTGTTTTGCTGCTTCTTTGCCTCATCTCGTCTCCACGCTGATTGCCCCTGAGGGAGACCCGGATGCACTAGACATCCCGACTCCTCGATCTTACGCTGAGGCGATCGAGGGTCCCTACTCCTCTCAGTGGCAGTCAGCCATGGACGCAGAGATGGCTTCCTGGAAGTCCACAGGCACCTACGTCGACGAGGTTCCCCCACCTGGGGCGAACATCGTCAGTGGCATGTGGATTTTCAGGGTGAAGCGGCTGCCAGGTTCTCCGCCTGTCTTCAAGGCGCGTTACGTGGCTCGAGGCTTTAGTCAGCGGAAGGGAATTGACTACTTTCAGACCTTCTCTCCCACCCCGAAGATGACCACTCTTCGGGTGCTGCTGCACATAGCCACTCAGTGCGACTACGAGCTTCACTCTCTTGATTTCAGCACAGCTTTCGTGGAGGGCAGCCTGCACGAGGAGATCTGGCTGCGCCGCCCACCTGGCTTAACTGGGTCGTTTCCTCCTGGTACCCAGTGGAGCCTCAGGTGGCCAGTCTACGGTCTCCACGAGGTGCCCCTTGAGTGGCACGACACACTGAGGAGTACACTTGCGGCTCTTGGGTTTGCTCCTTCTACAGCCGACCGGACGCTGTTTCTGCGTACCGACACCTTGTGTACGGGGACGACTTGGTCTTTGCCACTGCTGACACTGCTGGACTCGCCCACATGAAGTCCGAGCTGCAGAAGAGACATACGTGCACAGACCTGGGTGAACTGCGCAGCTACCTTGGCTTGCAGATCACCCGGGACAGAGCACAGTGCACCATTACCCTGACTCAGTCACACATGGTGCAGCAGGTCCTTCAGCGCTTCGGATTTACGTACTCCTCGCCTTAGGCCACTCCTCTGCCTACTCGCCACTCGCTCTCAGCTCTGCCTTCGGATGAGTCCGTAGAGTCGAGTCGCCCGTACCCAGAGCTTGTTGGCTGCCTCATGTACCTGATGACCTGCACATGACCTGACCTTGCATACCCTCTTAGCATCTTGGCACGCTATGTTGCTCCTGGGAGACACAGACCAGAGCACATGGCTGCAGCGAAGAGGGTGTTACGCTACGTGTGTAGTACGTCGCGCATGGGGCTAGTGCTTGGAGGGCGACGTTGAGTGGCTCTCACAGGTCACGCGGACGCTTCTTGGGCTGACGACCAGGCTTTGCAGCGGTCGTCATAGGGTTACACCTTCAGCCTTGGCTCCGGCTCTGTTTCGTGGCGGTCTACTTGCTCGTCTTCTGTTCTCGGCTCCAGTTGTGAGGCTGAGATCTACGCGGGGGCCATGGCTGCAGAGGAGCTGCGCTGGCTCACCTACCTGCTGACTGACCTAGGAGAGCCGCCTCGTTCTCCTCCAGATCTGTACGTAGACAACAAGGCCATGCTGGCCTTGTGTCGGGAGCACAGACTGGAGCACAGAACGAAGCACATTGCTCTTCGCTACTTCCTGGCTCGTGAGTTGCAGCAGTGTGGTCAGCTGCGCCTTGCTTACGTGGCGTCTGAGGCCAACACTGCTGATATCTTTACCAAGGCCCTTCCGCGTTGTGATCATCAGCGCTTCTGTACTATGCTAGGTCTTGTGCCTACTTGGCCTCATTTGCTCATTTCTTGACCTTGTTTGTACTGTACTCTTTCTATACCTGCACTTGCTTGTTTACCTTTATATATATGATCTTGCATGTGAACTGACCTTGTGGCCTTGCTCTTGTGCTCGGACTGTGTGGTGACGTTGTGATCCACCCTGAGCTTGCTTTGCTTTGCTTGACTGGTCTTGTGACCACTTGTTCTCCCCCACTTTGCCTATGGGGGTGTCTCAGGCATATATGCTATAGTCTGTGTAGGCTGTAGTGGGGGAGTTCATATGGAGTACAACACTTTAGGGTTTACTACTTGTACTCCTCATTCTGCTCAATGCATTCATTCCTCGTTTCTTATCAAGGCATGTGCAGAAATCATGTTAGTGTAGGGAAAAATGTTTAGATAAAAAAAAAATAGTGGAAAGACTACTCCTTGGGGTGAAAGGATGCGCTTATAAAAAGTACAGGCATTCTAAGGGGTGCCCTTATAAATGAGTACCGGCCATAAGGGCATGGCTTCAAATAGAAGCGCCGGCGCCTTTGATCAGGCGGCACTACTATCCGGGGTGATACGCAGGGCCCAAAATTGGTTTAGGCCTACCGTTACGAATCAGGGTACCAGCCCCTCCTTAACCAGACCCCTAGGGAAAAATTTTCATACCTTGTTTTCAGAAGGGTAAATGTACCACTAGCCTGATTTGAGCAGGGTAGTTTTAGGCTAAGCCTATTTTTGTATATATTTTGTGAGTTAACTTATTTTTAATGATATACACAAGTAGCATATTCAGAGTCCATGAAGTCAACACACGCAACTGGCCGTTTCTTCCACAGGGCAGACTCTGTTATGGCCAGCAAGGCAGCACTGAGGCTGCAAGTTGTTCTTAAGGACAGCTTGAAGCTGTCCCTGACAGCCAATTCTGCTGTGATGGTGGTGGGCGTGGCGATAAGTGACGAGGATCAATAATTGTTGGTAGTCCTGCGGCAGAAACAACGAATGAGGATTCTTGGCGTGCCGCCAACTACGATGCAAGTTTCCATGTGCGTGGGCACGAGCGACAACGGGTGTTTGTGGAGGTGTTGTACGTTTTGTCACCACCACGTGGACTATGGTCTGATTCGCGTTAGAAAAGATTCGGTAACAGGGTAGTGTACACCAAACCCTGATTCCGCCAGGGTAAGCTAAAAACCTAGCAGGGTAAAATAAAACATGCTCTTTTAAGAGAAGGGTAACTATTTCTCAATCCTGATTTCAGCAGGGTAATCCTGAAAAAGCACCCCCAGGGTAATCAGGGTGTTTTACCCTGATATTTTGGGCCCTGGTGATATGGTTATTCGTGTACGAGTGATATGGTATAGCTACATAAAACTAGTGCACTGTGGTGATAGACAAGCTGCACTAGCAGGAACGAAACTCTGCATGTGAGTCCTGACAGCTGGCACCTTGATAAACTACTGGCAGGCAGCTTCCAATAATAGAGAGAAGCTGATAAACAGGCACGTTTTTAGTCTACTCAAAAAGTCAAACATACTATATTCAGTTTAAATTACGAACAGCATACTGTCCCTCGACATTCTGCACTGCACCATTTCAGCCCAGATAGCACAGCAGCAGCACATTCCCCACATGCACATTTGAGGCGCCTCAAAAGTTAATTCAGCTCAGATAGCACAGCAGCACATTCCCCGCACATGCCCCATCACTGTGATTCATCACTCCTGCGGATAACCCACTGCCACCGACGAATCACAATCTCACGATTTCCTCACTGCGTTCTGGACAAAGAGCAGCTCAGATAGCACCTCCCCCATGTGCGGCCGATCGCGTCCGGTGGGAGCAGTGCAGCGCAGAGCGAGCTGCAGCAGGCGCCAGGCGGGCACCTTGGGGAGGTTGGAGGGCAGTGCAGGGTCTAGCACTGCTGAGGGATCGCTGTCGTGCTTCCTCAGCAATGCAGAGACCTGCAGAGGGGGTTGATTTGGTGTTGAGAGGGGGCGAGAGAGGGGGAGAGCGGTGAGTTGAGTTGGAAGGAGCAGAGCCAGCTGCAGCAGGCGCCAGGCAGGGACTTTGGGGAGGTTGGAGGGCAGTGCAGGGTCTAGCACTGCTGAGGGATTGCTGTCGTGCTTCCAGAGCAATGCAGACACCTGCAGGGGGTGACAACGTCACAGGGAAGAGAATGGTGGTGGATCAGTGCAGTTTTTAGTTTCCTCGGAAGATCAGAGAAGCATAGAGGCAGATGAAGAAGCTGTTATTGCTTCTGTAGCAATGCAGACACCTGCAGGGGGTGGGCTGTTGTGGGAAATGGTGGTGGGGCAGTTGGGGAAAAATTGTGCTGGTTGTGTGCTTTCGCACAACCATGCAACGTGAACAGGCCACGGATATTGCACATAACCATTGCAGCCACCATGGAACTACCCTACCCAGTAATCAATCTCCTCCCCATTACCAGGTCGCGGATGTGAGTGGAGGTCCTGAGGTGCTGGTCCTCTATCTGAGGTGGCAGGCCTGTGCAGTGGTACTGTGTAACTACATAACCTGGTAACCACTCTCCTCCCCATTACCAGGTCGCGGATGTGCGTGGAGGTCCCGAGGTGCTGGTCCTCTATCTGAGGTGGCAGGCCTGTGCAGTGGTACTGTGTAACTACATAACCTGGTAACCACTCTCCTCCCCATTACCAGGTCGCGGATGTGCGTGGAGGTCCCAAGGTGCTGGTCCTCTATCTGAGGTGGCAGGCCCGTGAGCGTCTCCAAGATGACAATCCCAAGGCTGTACACGTCGCACTTGGAGTTGAGCACTCCTGTTGATGAGTACTCCGGACACACATAACCCTGGTGGGGTAGGGTTCGCGGGGAGATTGAGAGGGAGAAGCGGAAAAGAGAGTTCAACGAACGACATGACAATCCCAAGGCTGTACACGTCGCACTTGGAATTGAGCGCCCCTGTTGATGAGTACTCCGGGCACCGACATAACCCTGTGCTGCCCCGTGCAAGCAACCCCGTGCAAGCAACCCCGTGCAAGCAACCCCGTGCAAGCAACCCCTCCCTCTCAATGAAGCATCCACCCACAGACCCTTCACACTCATCTCACCACGGATCCCTTCACTCTTACGATTGTCGAGGCCGGCGTGTGCACCGACGTCTCCCGCACAAACTCACTCAGTCTGACTCGAAGGTACACCCCTGCACGAGGTCTTTTTTGGAAGCACCTTCAAGGTATGGGAATACCCCTTGCACTCACCATGGATCAAATCACCCTGACGATTGTTGAGGTCGGGGTGTGCACTGATGCCGATGCCTCCCGCACAAACTCACTCAGCCCGAAATCCGACTGCAGCCCGACGCAGCAATGAGAACATTTAAACTATGAACCAGCAGACCCCTCCTGCTCACCATACCCTCCCACTCACCACGGATCCCTTTACTCTGACGATTGTCGAAGCAGATGTGTGCACCGAAGCCTCCCGCACGAACTCACTCAGCCCAAAATCCGACAGCAACCCCTCCCCCGACGCAGCAATGAGAATATTCTCCGGCTTCACATCGGAATGAACAATCGGCACCTCCAACCCCCCGTGCAGATACTCCAACCCCCTCGCCGCCCCGACCAGCACATCTATCCTCCTCCCCCAGTCCCTCAACCCGCCTTGCTCTTTCAGCCCGCCGTGGAGATTGTCGAATAGGGACCCGTTTGGAGCGTAGGTGTAGACGAGCATGAGCTCCTGCGCTTCCCTGCAGAAGCCTATAAGGGGTACGAGGTTGGGGTGGCTTATGGAGGAGAGGACTTTGATTTCGTTGATGAAGGTGGAGAGGGAGAAGTCAGAGCGGAGAGCTGCTTCGCGCACGCGCTTCACTGCCACCGGTGTCCCTTGGGACGAGTCGAACGGTGCTTCTTTCACAGTCGAAGGAGTGGTGGTGGAGGAAACTTCAGTATCGGTACCACCAGCAGCAGCACCAGCAGCAGGAGAGGAATCTATCTCAGCAGCACCACTGCCTAGAGCGCCATCCGGCTTCTTTTCAATCTGCCCGTTCGCCTGCCCTTTGTCTTTCCCCGCAGCGGCTGATTCCGGGAGCAGGCTTTCGTCCAGGTGCCCGAGGTACACGTCAGCAAAGGATCCGTGGCCAATCACGTGCGAGAAATGGTCGGTAGCCGCAATCAAATCGTCGTATCTGAAGAAACAAACCCCATGCACCAGGAACGTCTGCCGGCCGTTGATTCTCTTCGAATCCGACGGACTGATCGTGATCTCCCACTCGTCTCCTTTCATCACCCCTGGGATCTTGAGGGTTGTGAGTGTGACTGTAGAGGGGGGGGTGTTGTTGGGTCGTCCCCAGATGTTGGATCGCCAGCAGAGAAAGAGGAGGAGGATGATGACGAGGAGGAGTGAGGTGAAGAGGACGGGGAAGAGGATGGAGGAGGTTTTGGAGGGGGCGGGAGGAGGTGGAGGAGGGACGTTGGGTGGTGGCGCTGTGGGGATGGGAGGAATTGAGAAAGAGGGAAAATGGGAGAGAAAACCGGAGAGAGGGAAAGCGGAGAGTGTGAAGGGGATAGAGAGAAGAGGGGAGGGAATGAAAGGGGAGAGTGGGACGTACAGCACAGGGCAAACCGCCTCCACCCCCTCCCCCTTCTTCCCACCTTTGTTCGCTTAAACACACATGCCAGCAAACCAGCAACTAAACAGCCCGCACGCAAACCAACCTGACTGACTTGCACAACTCACGTGGAATTGGGGAGGTGAATCCTTCAAACCGGAACGGCCCGTAGCTAACCCCCATGGAGACATTACGCCGCACCATACACCCTTGTTCGTGCACGCACACATGAGAATACATACCAGCAACCATCAACTAAGGAACCTGCACACGCACCCACCAGACTCTGCAACACTCACGTGGGATTGGGGAGGTGAATCCTTCGAAGCGGTACGGCCCGTAGCTGACCCCCATGGAGACATTATGCTGCTGCCTCACCTCATCACCCCCTTGTTCTAACAAGCACACCGACCACCCCAACTAGCTCGCACATACATGCACACATGCATGGTTGTGCAATAGACTCACGTGGAATTGGGGAGGTGAATCCTTCGAAGCGGTATGGCCTGTAGCTGACCCCCATGGAGACATTATGCCGCTGCCTCACCTCATCACCCCCTTGTTCTGACAAGCACACCTACCACCCCAACCAGCTCGCACACACACGTGGTTGTGCAAGAGACTCACGTGGAATGGGCGAGACGAAACCTTCGAAGCGGTACGGCCCGTAGCTGACTCCCATGGAGACATTATGCCGTACGAACCTCATCACCACTGCATTCACAATCGCAGCCGTCCATTTCTGCCCGCCGGGCAGAAAAATCAAAACCTCCAGCAGCTGAGAGCCGTCCCTTTTCGTCCGAACCTGCCGAATCCACGCCTGCCCGGTTTCCCACCCAAACTGCGCCTCCAAACCCCTCTGCAGGTCTGTTGCTAGAGACTTAGAGAAGAACAGATTCGGCGAGTGCACGAGCCTAAGAAAGACTTTTAGCGCCTTGGCACAGACGCACGCCGCTGCCACCCGGTAGGCATAAAAGCTGGGGTAAGCGGCAGCGGCGGTAGGATCGCAGGTGTGGGAGGGACAGAACGGGTCTGAGGTAAAGACAATATCATCAAGGGAGGAACCGGGGGAGGGGAGGAAAACCGGAGGCTGAATTTTCTCGTTAGAGCGGTCGCAGGCGGGAGCGAGCGCTGGGATTACGAGGGTGAAATTGCAGAAAGGGTTTCCCCAAAGGCGGAGGGAGTTGTTGGAAATGACGTCTATGAGATACTTCGGCGTTTTCCGGCGGACCTTGCCGCCTGTGTCGTCAAGCTGGTTGTTTATAAGGGAGACGTAGTGTAGCGCGCCCGAGGCCGCTGCAGCTGAGAGGTCCGGGAGTTGTAGGTTTATCTTGTTGTTGTCCGCGTTTCTGGAGGAAGGGGGAGGGGAGAGAGGAGGAACAGGGGCATGCTCTTGTGTGTGGGGTGTGGTCATGTGGGGTGTGGTCATGTGGGGTGTGGTCATGTGGGGTATGATCATGTGGGGTGTGGTCATGTGGGGTATGGTCATGTGGGGTATGGTCATGTGGGGTGTGGTATGGTCATGTGGGGTGGGGTATGGTCATGTGTGTGGGGTATGGTCATGTGGGGTGTGGTCATGTGGGGTGTGGTCATGTGGGGTGTGGTCATGTGGGGTGTGGTCATGTGGGGTGTGGTCATGTGGGGTATGGTCATGTGTGTGGGGTATGATTATGTGGGGTGTGGTATGGTCATGTGGGGTGGGGTATGGTCATGTGGGGTATGGTCATGTGTTATGCTGACAAGCAGTATGCTCAAGTGTTGTTACCTGGTAACAGACTTACAGGACAGCCAATGCTTGAAGATTGGACATGGATTCTGGGAAGAAGCCAATAAACAGGTTGTTGGAGAAGTCACTAACGGGGATGCAGGGAGGGGAATAGGGCCAGGGGGAAGTGGTGGTAAGACAGAGGTATTATGCTGATCTGGCGCATATGGTAACATATTCTCATGCATTGTTCGTGACACTCTGGGGAGTCAGCATCTAGGGAAACCGCAAACACTCTGTACGCAACCAATGATCGTCATGTACGCATGTGTAAACGGGTGCAGTGATGGGTACATTCATGTTTTGAGACATCTCAGAACTGTTTTTGAGACGTCTCAAATCTACGCATGTGTAAACGGGTGCAGTGATGGGTACCTTGACTGATGTGTGCACTTGCTCGGGTGACGTGAAGGCCCGCCAAAAAAAAAAAAAAAAAAAAAAAAAAAAAAAAAAAAAAAAAAAAAAAACGGAAAAAAGCCAAGGAAATTAACTGCTCCCACACATGTGGCATGTGCGTGCAATCAAATGGAATGCACAAGTGCAGGCACTTGCGTGAAATGACAAGCGCACATGCACTCACACATGGCGCAGATTTCTGAGTGAAGCTTCCAAGGCGTCTTGCACGTTGCCGAGGATGTCGTTGTCGCTCACGTCACTGCCAGCGAGGGATTGATTTAGGGTATAGCTAGAATTCTTGAGTTCTTGATTTAGGGGGAGGAAGGGAGGGAGGGACGGACGGACGGACGGACGGACGGACGGACGGACGGACGGACAGACGGAGGGACGGAGGGAGGGAGGGAGGGAGGGAAGGGCGCTCACATCTTTTGCAGGTTGATGAGGAGCGATGTGTTGAAGAGGGCGTTCTCCAGCTGGCAGCGCGACATAGAGCTGCAAGTGCGGAAGGGGAAAAGGGCAGGGGGAAAGGGGGATAAGGGGAGAGGTGGAGAGGGGGAGAGGAGAGTGGGGAATGGGGGCCAGGGAGTGGGGAATGGGGGCCAGGGAGTGGGGAATGGGGGCCAGGGAGTGGGGAATGGGGGCCAGGGAGTGGGGGGGCAAGGGAGAGCAGGCAGTGGTGAGAGCAGGCAGTGGTGAGAGCAGGCAGTGGTGAGAGCAGGCAGTGGTGAGAGCAGGCAGTGGTGAGAGCAGGCAGTGGTGAGAGCAGGCAGTGGTGAGAGCAGGCAGTGGTGAGAGCAGGCAGTGGTGAGAGCAGGCAGTGGTGAGAGCAGGCAGTGGTGCGAGCACGCAGTGGTGAGAGCAGGCAGTGGTGCGAGCACGCAGTGGTGAGAGAGGGGAATTGGGGGGAAAGAGGGAGTGAGGGGACAGGGGAAGATGTGGAATTTACGTCTCACATAGTCACAATATTACTACACACTTTCACATGGCGACAAAATCACCACACACACTCACATTGCGACAGGGTTACGACACACACTCACATGGTGACAAGGTTAGCACACACTCAAAGGGTGACAAGTTACCACACACACTCACATGGTGACAAGGTTTCCACACACACACTCATATCGCAACAGGGTCCACACACACTCACATGGGGACAAGGTTAGCACACACTCAAACGGTGACAAGGTTATTACACACACTGACATGGTGACAAGGTTACCACACACACTGACATGGTGACAAGGTTACCACACACACTGACATGGTGACAAGGTTACCACACACACTGACATGGTGACAAGGTTACCACAGACACTGACATTGTGACAAGGTTACCACACACACTGACATGCTGACAAGGTTACCACACACACTGACATGGTGACAAGGTTACCACACACACTGACATGGTGACAAGGTTACCACACACACTGACATTGTGACAAGGTTGGTGAGAACCGAGAATCCAGCAGGGAGGGACCCTCCAATGGGATTGTTGTCCAACACCCTGTGCACGCACACATGGCATGGATACACATGGAAACACACGGGAATGGGAACACATGGTGTTGTGAACAGAGTGTTGAGACGTCTCAAAAGTCCAGCAGGGAGGGACCCTCCGATGGGATTGCTGCCCAACACCCTATGCACGCATGGCGATGGGAACACATGGCGATGGGAACACATGGCGATGGGAACACATGGCGATGGGAACACATGGCGATGGGAACACATGGCGATGGGAACACAAGGCGATGGGAACACATGGCGATGGGAACACATGGCGATGGGAACACATGGCGATGGGAACACATGGCGATGGGAACACAAGACGATGGGAACACATGGCGATGGGAACACATGGCGATAGGAACACAAGGCGATGGGAACACATGGCGATGGGAACACATGGCGATGGGAACACAAGGCGATGGGAACACAAGGCGATGGGAACACAAGGCGATGGGAACACAAGGCGATGGGAACACAAGGCGATGGGAACATGGGAAGCACAACCGTCAGCGCCCATGAGGTAACGGCACATATGCATCTCAAGAATCCAGCAGGGAGGAAACCTCTCATGGGATTATTGTCCAACACCCTGTGCACATGGTAACCACATGCATGCACGTACGTGTAACCATTAGAACCTCGGCTCGGCTTCAACCACACCACATGCATGACATGAGCTATGAGTATGAGAGTTTTGAGACATCTCAAAACACTTCTTCAAACACCCGGCTCAGCTTCAACCACATGCATGAGCTTTGAGTATGAGAGCCTCCGTGGTAACTGCATGCTACCGTGCGTAAATCCTTCGTGAAAAAAAAAAAAAACTTGGCATCTAACCCACGAGGGCACTGTGGAACCTTTGTACCCGCCTTTTGTTTGTGCGTTTTTTTTTTTTTTTTTTTTTTTTTGGTGCTCGTGTACTCAGACACAATATATACACTCGTCGTGTTTTGTGGCATCTGTGTAAAATTTACACTCTTGAAGACTGTTTGCATACAGTGTTTGCAGGTTGGAGAGGGAGGAGAGGCGCTCAGGGAGTGTGTTGCCGATTCGGTTGTGATCCAGCACCCTGTTGACGTCGGAAGGGGATAGGCATGATGGTGTCACCACATGATTTGATGTCAAGACGTTGTGATTTTGTGTCATTAACGTACGAGGTGCCATTACACACAGGATTATGGAAAAGAAGGAAAGAAAGAAAGAAAGAAAGAAAGAAAGTAAGAAAGAAAAAGAACAAACAAACAAACACCCCACAGGTTACAACCAGGGTGCGTATGTTGAGTCGGAAAGAGCAACCAGTTCTCCCAGCAGCGCAAGGGACCCACACGTTACAAGCAACACGCTACCAGCAACACGCTACTGACAGCCTACACAGTACAGCCCACAGGATACAGTGAACATACAGTGTGCGGAGGTTGGGAAGAAAGCCTAGATTTCCTGGCAGAAGTGAAAAGCGGTTCCAGCCAAGCAGCCTGCAGGGGCGCATTAAGAGGGAGAGATTCCTTAGTCGACTCAAAAATTAGCTCCTGGGAAAAGGGAAAAGCGGTTCCAGCTAAGCAGCCTGCACGGGTGCATTGGGAAAGGGAGAAAGAGGGAGCGTGTGCATGTGTGCGACAGGCGAGGGGGAGAGGCGTGCACAGCTCATGTGTGCATGAGATGAGGGGGAGAGTGGTGGTGCGTGCATGTGCGCGTCAATCTTCCTCAGGCTTAGTCGAAATCATGATGATTACCCCTTCCCATCCCCCATCTTCTTTCTCGCTCTCTCCTATCCTTGCCCCCTCCACACTCACAGGTGCTTGAGCGACGCAAGTCTAGGGAAGAAGGAGACACCTCCCTCCAACTCGTTATCCGACAGATCAACGTGCTGCAGGTTCTGCATTCCCCTGGACTCCTCCCCCAGCAGCGGCCCTTGCAGGCGGTTGGAGTCGAGCAGCAGCACTTGCAGCGCGGTGAGAGCACCGTACACAGCTGGGATGCGACCCGTTAGGGAGCAGTTGCGCAGGCTGCTGCTTTGGGGGAAGAGATGGGGAGAGCACGGGGAAGAGAGTGGGGAAGAGAGGGGAGGGAGAGTCGGGGCAGTGAGGAAAGGGCGTTGCAGGCGGTTGGAGTCGAGCAGCAGCACTTGCAGTGTGGAGGGAGCAGTCGGACGGAGCGCAGAGGGAACACAGCAGAGATGTGGCTCGACAGGGAGCAGTTCCGCAGGCTACCGCTTTGGGGGAAGTCGGAAGGGGAAAGAGGGAAGGAGTAGGGAATGGGGGAGGAGAGTGGGGAGATTTGAGAGTGCACCGAAGGAAGCAGCAGGGATGCCGCCAGACAGGGAGCAATTGCGCAGGCTGGTGCTTTGGAGGAAAAAGAGAGGAGGGGGGCGGAGAGAGAGAAAATGGGGAAGGAAGGCCTTGCTAGCAGGTTATTGGAGGCAAGCACCTAGTGTGTTTGAAACGCTAGTACCCTGGAACAACCTAGTACTTGGTACAAGTGATGTACTTGGTACTTACAGCACTTGGAGTTGCGAGAGTGAAGAGAGAGCACTGGGCAGGTTGCCTCTGATACCATTGTTGTTCATCAGATCCCTGTGGTCATGCCATGGCATGGCATGGCATGGCATAGCATGGCATGGCATGGCATGGGACAGAGAAGGTGGGTCGTGTTTTCAGTCGAGTTTGACTTGACTCATATCAGAAAGGGCACTGGGCAGGGTGCCTCTGATGCCGTTGTTGTTCATCAGGTCCCTGGAGTCATGGAATCCCACATGTGAGAACGGTGATCACCGGTACGGACCGGAACAGGGGTAATGGCACAGATAGTTCAGGAGATAGGTCGATCACGAACCAAATTCTAGCAGATAGCGTGGATGTTATTGCAGACCTGCATAGTGCAACAAGGTGCCTGATACGAGCTGAGGCGTACAGGAAAGCGCTTTTATTGAATGCTGGGCACAAAGGAAAGGTGTGGGATGGAATGAAGTGTGTTGGAGGGAATGAGGGAAAGGTGTGTGGGAGGGAAGGGCCATAGAAAGGTGTGTGGGAGGACGGGGGCACAGAAAACTGTGTGAGAGGGCGTACACAAACGTGTGTGGGAGGGAATGAGGGAAAGGTGTGTGGAGGGAGGGCGTACAGGAAGGTGAGGAAGGAAAGTCTTCCCAGGTCGGGCAAGAGCGAGCCTAGTCTTGAGGCGCCTCAACTCTCGAGTAAATGAAGGAAAGGTGCGTGGGAGGGAATGGAGAGAATGTGTGTGTGTGTGTGCGTGAGGGGCAGCGTACAGGAAAGTGAGGAAGGAAAGTCTTCCCAGGTCGGGTGAGAGCGAGCCTTCAAGTCCCATCCCTGGAAGCATGCTGCGTGCAAGGAAGGAGAGGGTGGGGCAGGAAAGGCGAAGGAGAGGAGAGGGAGAGGATAGGATGGGATGGGATGGGATGGGATGGGATGGGATGGGATGGGATGGGATGGGATGGGATGGGATGGGATGGGATGGGATGGGATGCGATGGGATGGGATGGGATGGGATGTGATGCGATGTAAGAGCACATTTCCTCCTATGGTGCTTTGACACACACTCCCTTCCTTGCAGTGACTCGTTAAGAGCACAATCCCTTCAGTACAGAGACTCTTGTCTCATTAAATTCGTCCCGTATGCAGCTCACCACGCCTACCCACCCATCCGCACACGGAATTTGCAGGGCGTTTTTGAGGATTCTAAAAAAAAAATCTCTTAGAGAACACCCCTTACAGTGCAGAGACTCTCGTCTCGTTGAACTCGTCCTTTGTGCAGCTCACCACACCCCACCACCCATCCGCGCACGGATCCCCCCCCACCGCCCACGAGCGCAGCTGGGGGGGATTTCCCCATTCCGCCTTCTGCTGCAGCAGCGCCGCCACTGAGAGGGGAACGGGGGAGAAGGGGGAGCGGTGGGGAAAGGGTTGAAGGGAGAGGAGAGGGGCGCATGGAGAAAGGGGACAAAGACGGACACGTGTGGCGGGAAATGGGGTTGGAATGGGGAGAAGATAGGGTGGAGGGTGGCGGCGGGGGAGAGGGGGGAGGAGTTTGAAGTGGGAAGGAGGGTGGGGGGGTTGCTGTGGGGAGGGGGAGGGGGAGAGAGGGTGGTCAACGGGGATGGAGATGGGGGGTTGAAGCACAAGAAAGAGAGTCCATAGATGTATCTTTCACCAAAACTCGGCGCTCAGATCTCAGGCTTTAAGAGAGAGGATGCCGAACCTTCGTTCTGATCGGTGGCGGCTAGGGACGAGTCGATCGAGAACAAGCACGCGACGCACGACAACACGACGAGGAGCCAATGTCGGACCCCGGCGATCAACGCGACGTTTCGCCGCCGGCGAAACATGGTAACCAGGAAAGGGCGAAGGATCAGCGCATAGAATGCAGGGACTGCGGTGTACTGATTACAAGTGCTGCTACCGCTCACGCAGTCCGCACACGCCGCTGCTGTAACCTAATCACTGGTGTGTCGCTCCCTTAGCTGCTGCTACCAGACAAAACAACGACATCCGTTTCCCAAGATATCGGGTAACACCGTTGTCCGAACAGGGAATATTACGCTGTGCTACGCGTTTCAGATTCCACGACGCCTTTCATTCATTGAATGCAATCAGGAATTTCGCAGCAAGAAGCAATCTGGCATTTCTGCTCTGCTTCCACCTCGATCCTCCTAATCTAAACTCAATCCACCTCCTGAGTTGTCGCCGTGGATTTCGTGAGAAAGAACGATCGAAGCTAGCTGGGTGACTTTTGAGTCGACTCATAAGTCACCTCGAGAAGGAACGATCGACGCTAGCTCCTCAAGTCCCTGGGAATGATGTGATATGTTCTTGAAATGAGTTTTGATGAACAGCTCCAGTGGGATGATGTATGCCAACCAATGGGAGGTGGAGGAATGAACGCGTTTCGTTGGGAAAATATGTCTATGGTGACTTACATGGGGCAGTATAACGCGTACGGTAACGATTTCAACGCGTTTGGTAACTCGTTTAACGCGTTTGGTGACTCTCTTGACACGTTTGGTAACTCGCTTAACGCGTATGGTAACTATACACTAGCAGCCCATCACGTGAATGGTAAATACATGAAACTCCCGCCGAAATGATCCTGAAATTGAGGAATTTATCGAGTTTGAAAGTCTTTACGCACTGTTTTATCTTTCTTGAACAAGTCCCGCCGCGAATTTGAAGGACTATGTTTAGTCTAATACCACGGATCAAGAAGTTTGAAAGTTTATATATATATATACATATATGGTTCGTACAAAAACGGTTCAAATCATATTTTTATAGCATGGTTGCGAACTTGCAAAATGATCAAAAAACTTTCCACGAAATGGCATCGGGATTTTAAGTTTTTTAATTACTGCAACGTTGGCCTTTTTTTTCATGTGAGATAGATACACCTCTTTAGAATTACATGTTTCATTTTTCAAAAAAGAACCATATACGCCTTGTCGCAAAGAGTTTATGGTTGATGCTCCCAAATTCATTTGTCATCTTCAAGGGGTATAGATTTGCTTGGCCCCGCTGCACGATAGAATTAAGAACAAACAGTTTGCGGAAAGAGCGTCAGAATATCAGGTGTATATAAAACTTTGTTTTTGAAACACTTACGGTTTTGCAATTAGCTTGAAAAATGGAAAGTGTGTCAGGATTTTGGAAAGTGTGTCACAATATCAGAAAACTGTCTCAGAATCTCGGCGAGTATGTCCGAGGTTTCTGCTTCAAGATTCATCAATTTAGTCTGACGCGAGCGGGAAAAACTAGAATAAGGGTCATTTTGGGCGAGGGTTTCTTCTAGTTACCATTCGCGTGATGGGTTGCTAGTCTATAGTTACCATACGCGTTAAGCGAGTTACCAAACGTGTTAAGCGAGTTACCAAACGCGTTGAAATCGTTACCGTACGTGTTATACAGCCCCATGTAAGTTATCATTCACATATTTTCCCCGTTTCGTTCGCTGTTCCAGAATCTCAGATGGCCTGATTTCTGAATCCATGTCGAACAAACGAGTCCAGTTGTTGACCCATATGGGCCTGATTTCCGGCTAAACAGCAAATGCATCTGTAACACTGGGTAAATGGATATACAGTAGTAATCTAGTGTATGGGATATGAGTAGATATCAATGCTATATTTACACTCGATGCAGCAGATATCATCACCCATTCGTTAAAGGTAGCAATTTGACCGAGATGCTTCAGAACCCCTCTTAAATGTATCTTATTCTACTACTAGGTGATGTGATATAGATATATCATTAGAAGCATTCTCGTTTGCCAGTCATTGTAAGATCAGTGTTACGAGTGCAATTGAGTAAATCAACGGGAATTGCACTATCGAAGCAAGGATACAATGAGCGAAGGCATGAGCGAAGAATATATAGCGAAACTACAGTGGTAACGGTAATGGACTGTGGTTGTCGCGTGACGGGCCTGAGACTGAGGTTTGGGACAATGTCGAAGCGGAGGCCCGGAAGGCGGGTTACCAGCCGAGCCGTGAGGTTGGGGTGCGATGTGCGAAAATTGCGGGCTGATTGTCGATGCGAGGGTCGCGAGTGGTAACGGTGCTGACTGTGGTGGTATAGTGATGTACGCGTTGAGCAGGGATGCGAAGTAAGGAAAAAATGAATTTCCTTACAATCAGCAGGAACACATATGACTGTAGGTTTGATTATCACAACGGCTGGTCAGTCACTTTGGTCAAACAGACTCCACGCTGGTCCGGCTGCTGTCAGCGCGGACTCGGCAGGGAACTTCAGAAATTTGAGAAACCGAACGCTCGCGCGTGTCGTGCGGGACACGTGTGCGTGGAAATTTTCGTCCTACTCTGTTGAGCCTCGGAAATCGTTCGCAAACGTCCTCGTTTTCGCGAAGCCCCTTCCCCAGGCCAATCGCTGCGCAGACTTCGTTGACCTGGCATGTTCAGACTGACGCAGACTCCTTCCGCTGTCATTCCACACAGCCGCTTCCTCGGCAAAAATTGCGCGCATTCCCCTCCGCTCATGGCACAGCAATCCAGCCAGAACTAGGCGCTCGCGCCCGCAAGAAGTCCCGACGTGAGTTGGTCCCCTTTCCCCCCAGCATTCCTTCTTTCCCCCCTCCCCTCGTCCTCCTGCCTCCCACCCACCCTCTTCCCCCCTGCAGAGTTCAACCAACTCAACTCACCACCTTGTGCTTTCCATTTTCCATTTTCTCTCCTTGCAGTCCGAATTTCCGTTATTTCCATTGTCCTGCTGATTGGGTCAAATCTCCAATCACGGTACACGTGATTCATAGCGCGCTTGGTCCTTGGTTTGAACCTAAGAGCAAATAATTGTTAGTTAATTAGCTCGTTAGTGTTATCATGAAGCCGCCGCCCCCCTCTTTCGGGCGGGGAAAATCCGCCATGTTAGGGTTTCTATGCCTCGTTTTCATGTTATCAGACTTACGAACCAGGACAGGAACAGCTGCTGCTGCAGCTGGTGGGGGGGGTTTCAGTACCGTAGTTCCGTACGGACGTGCGAAATTTGCGAAGAGAGGTCGCACTCTCCAACGTTACCCGGTTATGCTGAGGCATGGCGAGGAAAGCGCGGCAGGATTCGAAAACCAGGCGAAACCAGGTTACGAAAATACCGCTGATTCTGTCACTGTGAAGGCGAGCCCTGCTGGAACTCCACGTAAGATTCGTGTGCTGACGTGGAACCACGCGAGGGACAAATCTCGCACAGCGGCTCTAGCGACTCCATCTTCGCCCTCGCGAGCAAGGCGACAGATGCGGCAGCGACAGACGTCGCACGCGGACGCATACGACGAGCCAGCTGTATTCGAACTCGGCGCCCCGAGCTGGGCGACTGGCGGGCGACATCGTCGCGGCGACAGCCGGGCGACGACAACAAGCGGGCGACATCATCGAAGCAGCCGCCGGCCTGTCGCAGGATCCTCTTTCTATCCGTCGCAGCAGGTTTTTTCAGAATCAGGAAGACCGAAATATCAGACGCGGGTGTCTGCGCCTCAGTTGCGATACAGTGGTGTGTCGCGAAATCACAATAACGGACCTCGAAGTCGCAATATCGCGTACACTTGGGGTCCAAATGACGTGGTGAAGTGGCAGGGAAGCGATCACAAATTCTCCAACTCCGATTCACACTCAGCCAGGCTCCGTGCGATAGGTCCGGCGGGTACGGATATGGTCTACGAGCTTGAGCCAGCGTCAGCTTCGAACTTTGCCGAGCCTGCGAGCGAGCCTTGGTCCGGGCAGCAGCAGCAGGGCCAGCACAGTGGTGTCCAGGTTCGTGTTGGTCCAGGCTTGGTGAAAGAGGCAACCGAAGCAGCTGATGGTGAACTTGGAGACGCGGGTTCAAATCCTGGCTTTTCCACTCCCAGCGTATCTCCAACCCTCCGTACGCCTCACTATCGAACAGTTACCGCCCCTATCCATGCAGCCCCCAGGGCTGATATTAGTACTCAAGGTGTTTCAAGTGATGGAATTGAAGAGATTGAGAGGAGTGAGGAGGGGGTTGGGAGTGAGGAGAGTGAAGGGATTGGGGAGGGGGGTGAGAGTGAGGAAAGGGAGGAGGATGATGAACATGCGGAGAGAGACGGGAGTGAGGAAGGGGATGGGAGTGAGGAGGAGGATGCGTCTGGGATAACGGCAAAGGCTCAAACTGTTTCTGACGCAGCAGAGGAGACTGGGCCTGTTCCGATCGCTGCAGGTGAGACTGGCCCAACAGCCGGGCCAGCAGATGGCCCTGACGATGGTGCTGGCTCGGTTTCAAACGGAACTGCGGGGGCAGGCGCAGGGACAGGGACAGGAGCAGGGGCAGGGACAGAGGCAAAGACAGGAGCAGGAGCAGGGCCAGCCACAGGAGCAGGTGTGGCTGGCCCAATAGAAGGGCCAGCAGATGGCACTGGCTCGGTTTCAAACGCAACTGCGGGGGCAGGCGCAGGGACAGGGGCAGACGGAAAGACAGGAGCAGGGGGGCGGGCAGGGGCAGGGGCAGGGGCAGGGGCAGGAGCAGGGGCAGGGGCAGGAGAAGGGGAAGGGGAAGGGGCAGGGGCAGGGGAAGGGGCAGCGGCAGGGGCAGGGGCAGGTGCAGGGGCAGGGGCAGAGCCGGAGAGGGCTAAGAAGGTGAGTGTGGACACGTTGGAAGAAGCACGGATTATACTCAAGGGAATTGATGGAGGGGAGGATGGCACAAGGGTTCAGATGAAACGTGTTCAGGCCACTGGCGCTGCTGTTACAACCCAAGGCCATGGCTCTGGTGCTGGTGGTGCTGGCAATGGTGCTGGCGCTGCTGGTGGCAGTGGAGAGGGGATGGGAGAGGAGGGAGGGGTGGACTGGAGTCACGGCCTGAAGGCCACGAGCATGTATGTGGTGAAGGACGGGGACACGTGCGAGGGGCTCGCTTACAGCTTCTTCCGCGGATCGCTTGCCATGATGCGCAACCTCAACCACGGGTTTGAGTGCTCCGATGCCGCTCTCACGCCAAACATGCAGCTGTTTGTGCCGTAAGGGCAGGCGGGGGAGGCTGAGGGGGGAGGGAGAGGGGGGGACACGTGCGAGGGGCTCGCTTACAACTTCTTCCGCGGATCAGCTGCCATGTGTGGGGGTGGGGGCCTCTCGACCGGGTCGGCTGCCATGATGCGCGATCTCAACCATGGGTTTGTGCTCCGATGCCACTCTTGCACCCAACATGCAGCTCTTCGTGCTGTAAAGGGATGGAGAGGGAAAGGGGGCGAGGGGAAGCATGAGACAGGGGTAGGCTAGTAAGCGGGGGAGATGTGGGGAGGGGGGAAACATTACTCTGTGGGTATGTATGCATGCTTGGATTCTTGCAGAATTGCGTGCTTTCCTGTTTCACAAGCAGCTGATTGCATGAGAATGAGAAGGGCGGGGTGAAAACAGGGGGGGGAAGGGCGGAAACAGGGGAAGGCGTAAATGAAAGCCAGGGAACAGGCAGGAGATCCCAGAACGAGTGGACAGGCGGGGTGCAGGAGGGAATGGTACAGAGTTGTAGAGCAGCAAGTGGAGAGAGTTGTATGATTGGAGGGTTGGCAAGCACATATGGGGCGGGGGAGAGACAGCTAGCGGAGGAGATAGATTTATGGAGATAGATATATTGTTGCTTGATGAATGGAAACATATCTGGCACATGGAACTGTTTCTTCCGTCACTCGTGGTTGAAAACGCAGCAGTGCTAGAGTGAAGTTTTGATGGTAGAACTGTATGAGCGCCTTCTGTTTGTGTGTGCTCCTTTTGTTTGTGTGTGCTAAATACATGCGTCTTAGTATGCTGAACTTTATTCCTGCCTTGGTTTTCGGATGCACTGAATTGGAAAATGGTGATGCTATGAATCAGGCAGAATAGAGAGACACAAGACCCAAGGTCAATCTACCAATCCACGAGAAATAGTGGATAGCTTCTAACCTACTTAATCCATCGCGCGGCTCGTTCTTCATTCACTACCTTCTAATTCCTCCCGGTACCTCCCTGATCACTCATCACGCGCTCATTGTCGCTCCCGTTTTTCCTCATTATCCGTTTCGCCCATTACCTTACGGTTTGAAGTCCGTTTTGGCAGTAGCAGCCTTGGTTTTCGCCTGGTTAATGAGGTCCAACGCGTCTTTGTACGTCACTTTGTTAAGCATCACCGACACGCCGTTAAGTGTCGCGACGGAGTTGTCAACCTGCGTCGCCACCAGCGCGCGCTGACCCTGGTGGATTAGAATCACCGCGTTCTGAAGAGCCTGCTCGGTGCTCTTTAGATTCGCGTAGTACTGATTTTTGGGCGTCAACAGGTCGGCCGCGTCCGCCGTTAACGTTGCCGCCGCCTGGAGATTCGCGATGACGGACACGTCAGCAGGGTTGACGGAACCCTTTGACGGAGTCGAAGGAGTTGACGGAGTAGTCGGCTTTGGCGTGGAAGGAGTGGGAGTTGTCGGCTTAACGGGAGATTTCGGAGGAGACGGTGACGGTGACTTCTTGGGCGGCACGGGAGAGGGAGATGGCGATTTCTTGGGAGGTGATGGCGACTTGGGCGACTTGGCTGGTTTCGGTGGCGAAGAAGGCGACTTCGATTTTTTCGCTGCATCCCTCGCAGCTTTCGCCTCTTTACGCTCTTCCTGCTCTTCCTTCTTCTTGTCCCTCGCTGCCTGCATGGCCGCATGCCGCTTCTGCTGCTCCTCCTTCTGCGCCTTCTTCGCAGCCATTCGTGAGGCTTTATGTTCAGGCGTTTCCGTCGCCAAAGTCGTTGCGAGTTGTAACATTCGTCGCGGAATGACAAGGCCCTCCCATTCGGGCTCGTCGTCCCGGTGGTGTGCGACTGGTTTCGCCGAACCTCTAAACATCGCGGACCAGTCGTGTCGCAGTTGAAGACCTCGCGCCGAAGCTTGCGAGGCGAGGGTGGCAAGGAGGAGAGAGAGTAAGGGGAGTGGAGCGGCCAAGATGGCTACTTTACGAATCCCCATGATTCTCAACTGTTGTCGTGGAGATTCGATAACGCACGGCAGATGAACGATAAACAAAGTGGTTTTATTGAAATTCAAAGGGTGGACTGGACGGCAGATTCGTCGACGAGGGAATCGCTAACACACAGGCTTCAGGGAACGAGACTATGCTTGATTCCGATAGTTCTCCAGAGCTTATCAATGTTCTGGGCAGGTAGCGAGACCAAGAGAGGGTAGGGGAGGAAGAGAGCGCACTTCCGCACTGGGAAATTTCTTGGGCATTGGGAAATCGAAGCGCGCTAACACGGACCGCGCGAGGGATGTGTGCGAACAAATTCTCGCGCTTCCAACGATAAGCAGATTGGCGAGGGGCGACGTCGCACAAACTTCGGTCTAGTCGGTGTTGCGATTTTACCACGAGTCTGTACGACGACGATCTTCGGTGAAATTTCCGGTGGACCAATCGCAAACGCGGGCAGGGGCACTGGCACGAGTGAATTCTCTCGTTCCCCCGCTTTTGGTGGACGAAAACATTTGTACAGCTGGTGCTGTCACACAGTGCTTGGCGCGAGAACGAAATATTTGATGAAATCCACCACAGCTAACGCGACATTGTACGTACACCGCATCTGGTTGTTACGGGAACGACGTAGATTTGTGCTCACATCACCCATCATTAGTATAATATATGAACATGATTACATGTTACATGATTTCATCACCTCCTGGTCCAATTACAAAGCCTCAATACTTCACCAACTGTGCTGTCACGTCTCGTTTTTCTACCTTGGCCCATAAGGTCCCGAAGTATGAAGGAGACAGGAATTACAGCTTTGTGCTTCTTTCGGACCTCCAACTTTGATTTTAACATCTCACCGAACCTGCTGTGCTGTAACAAACCAATGATATCAGACCGTCCCTGAAGAAAAAATCAGGAAATATGTCATCTTGCAGAGAAACCTGTAGATGGGAGAATAGACAAATTCGAACAAAATATCATGAGCGCAATCAGAGTAGCCTCATCTTGGTAAGACTCACCTTGGTAAGATGCTGGGTGAATGAGCCAATGTTAGGAAGCGAGAACCAGTACGAATCAACATGTGCCACCTGTGCAACCTGTTGTTGGGAGAGAAAGACACAAGGCCAGGAGACACACGGTTTAGGGTAGAAGGTTGGTGGCAGACACACACGCATTTGAGAATCTTGACTTAAGCATACAATGGTTGCAACCCGCTAAGTAAGTGTAAACCAAGAAGGTTGGCGAGAGCCTATGCAACGCAGACAAGCAGAAGGGGAGGAAGAACAGATGCCTACCAGCAACCCTGCTTTAGAGGCGCCTCAAAATCCATCTCTATACCCACAATTTGAGGTGTCTAAAAAGTATGTGCAACGCAGACAAGCAGAAGGGGAGGAAGAATAGATGCCTACCAGCAACCCTGCTTGCACGAGAATGCAGATGTGACTGTCTGTCACGCGCGATTTGCCAGCATTCGATAAGAGGCGTTCCTGTGGAGAGAGCAAAAAAGGAGCACAGAAACAATAAGTACACGGATCTGTTACCAATTTCGAAAAGAATGTGTGCATTTTCCTTGAAGGACTCACCAGCTGTTGCCTTGATATGCCATGCTCAGTACACTGTGGAAGAACCCGGTCTCTGAACCAATAAAAGACTGCCACCTGGCTGCTCTCAGTTTCACTTGTACCGTGCTTTCGCCTGCTGTTTTCCTGCCTGTAGCTGGACTTGTTCCTATAACCCCCGCTGTTCCCTCTGCTGCTGCTATCACCCTTCTGTGCGAGGGGGGCTATATTGCCAGCATGACTTGACGCGCGCTGAAGAAACTGTTGCCTGGCAGCTTCAACCTGCAAACAATGATGATGATGGTGGATGTTAATGATGATGACGATGACACACACGAAAAAAGATATCCGTTGGTACCGATGGTTGAGTCGTTTCATCCAAGTATTTCCCAGCGGCAGCATAGGCAGGCCCTTTGAGAGAGACATTGGTTTCTCAGGCAAGAAACATATCAGCGATGCTCCCACCACTTGGTCATAGTCCTGAGGCAGGAGCACGGCAATGTCGGTCCGCAATGACATGAGGCCAATCACACGCACCGACCCACTCTTCATAAAGACATTGGGTTTTCAGGCAAGAAGCATAGCAGTGATGCTCTCACCACTTGGGCGTAGTCCTGAGACAACAGCACAGCAATGTCAGTTCGAGCCGACATGAGGCGAATCACCCGCACCGACCCACTCCTTTGCAGCATCTGGAGTGGAAAACAAGCAACTGTGGACTGTGAGGCACAATCTCCTTGCTAATCTGTGCCAGCACTGCAGGGTTAATTTGAAATGACATGAGGCAGATGAACCACGCTGGCATGTTCCTCTGCAGCATCCACAACCAGCCCTGGAATGGGAAAAGTGGGGGATCCACGGGAAGGAACAGAGCGGAGGAGAAGCGGGGAGGAGAGAAAGGGGAACGAGGGGAGGAGAACACGGCAAGGCATCAGGAAGCAAAAGCAGGGAGGAAAACAGCGAGGAAAAGAAGGGTGAAGGAACCAGCCTGAGGAGGTATAACAGGGCACAGAATCGGGGCTTTCTGACCTCAAGCTCTCGGTCCACAGTGGTTCGGTGCGGTACCACGGTGTAGATTTGGGAGAGAAGGGCGAAGGGAGGTAGGGAGGATGCGACCTGCAAGGGGGAGGAATGACGAGCAAAGAGCAAAGAGAGAAGGCCAGTCAGTGAGTGAGTAAGTCGAGAATGGTAGGTAAGTCGGGCTTACCGGCAGATAACAGGCAGATCCAAATGTCAGTGAGTAAGTCAGGCTTACCGGTAGAAGCGACCTGCGATGCGAATGGTAGGTCCACAGAAAGGAGAAGTGCCACAACAGATGCAATGAAATGAAACCAGTACATCAGAGAAATGATACGGGGAAGGAGGTACCTTGGAGAGTGATGGAGGGAAGGAGGCGCGGAGGAAATGAACGGCTGCAAGCGTGTCGCAAGGAATGTCCGCTACACGGGGGGGGGGGGGGGGGAGGGGGGAAGGCAAGGGGGAAAGAAAGTGAGAGGGAAAGGAGGTGAAGGGGGGAGCAAATGAGGGGGGAAGGAGGTGATGGGGAGAGGAGGCGAGGTGGAAAGAACGCGTTGCAACAGAAAAATCATGGCATGGTGAGTTGACAGCTCTTGGTGATTTGGCGACTACATATTGTTCATGTTCACACCTTAGCCTACCTGACTCATCTCGCGCCAGGAGAGATATTCTGTATCATTCTTTATCATGCTCTAACACCCCCAGGGTCGTCACCAGTTCAAGGTCGACCTGGAGGCTGGTTACCCGCTCACCCGCGAGCGCATCCAGGTCGTCCATTTCCGCCTCTGGCGGAGTCGCGTCTTCTCCTCCTGCTGACTGGACAGCCAAAACCGGCCCTCCTTGTTCTTTCACCAACTCAGTCGCGTCAGTTGCTTCAGTCGCATTATTCGCTCTAATCGCACCACTGCTCTTCGTCCTGTCGATTGAGTCCAAGTCAGGCCTGGTAACGACGTTCGAACGACCGTCAGTCTTCTGAAAACGGAAACCGCTATCAGCTTTCGCATGGCCGTCAACTTCCCGCGCCGAGGCTCCTGCGGGAATGTCGTCGTCGCATTTCCGTCGCGAAGGCTCCTGCGGGAAACGGTCGCGAGATGACGTGTCGTTGGCCGTGCCATCCTCGTGTAAGCGAAAATCGCTGTCTGACGTGTCGCCATGTACTGAATCGGACTCAGATCTACCGTCAGATAGGTCCTCCGGGTCAATAACGAGAACAGCTCGCTTCCGCTTCAACATCGCTGATGGTTCCGGTCGGTGACCAAACAATCAAAACAATACGCGTGAAAGTGATGGCGAGCACAAATCCAGCAGCACAAAGAATTCCAGATTGCTGATACAACTAGTCCGCGGTATTTTAACCGCCGCTATCTTAACCACGCGAGGGTACTTCTCCTTTATCAAACTTATTTAGTCGGGTTGTTTTCAATTTTACGAGGGTAGAATATAGCATTCCCTTCGCGAGATAACAGCAGGGATAACTCAGTGAATGCCGAGTGTGAAAAATGTTAATCCGTCTATCTTGGAGCACTAAGTGTGAGTTCCTTAGACGGAAGTGCTTTCGGCTGCAGAATCGTAGCCTCGATGACTCTGGGTGCTAATAACATTACCCAGAAACGAACAAAGGGGGTTTGAAAGAACAAAGTTTACCTGGTTAAAATACCGCGGACTAGGTGTAATAACCGAACACCCACCAGCAGATGCACTCGAAGTTGATGATGATGGGCAAGGCTTCTTGAGCTTCCATTTGAATGTATCGCACTACACCGCACTAAGGATTACTGTTATCGTGTAAAAACTCTGTGAAAGGGCCGAGTTTACCAGCGTCCACTCCACTTGTGATCCATTGGATGAAGGCCAAGTGAGCTGAAGCTGTCATGCACACGACAACTGGGAGGTGTGAGAAGATTGGCGATGGCGACCTCCGCGAAGTCGAAGCCACGGAAACGAAACTGCGTAACTACACATCGCGGAAGAGTGCACAGCAGCGTTGACGAACCAAGACACTACCAACACGGTAAAAAGGTGTGTTACCACAGAGGAACGATAATGTTAACACTTGTCGCCGATTGTGGGGATCGAACCCACGGCCACGTGGTTAAAAGCCACGCGCTCTACCACTGAGCTAAATCGGCTGGTTGTATGTGGGGATCTAAATTTATCTTCTAGCTACATGCGCTGGGTCTAACAGTGCCTTAGGCTGATTTCCTGCGCATTCTAGAGGCGGAGAGGAAGTTTTTATGCCTCAGTTGCCTAATTCCCCACATAGCCGTCGCAAGTCAATGCTCTTGCGGACAGTCGATCAATGACATGTTGTAGTGGAGCCTAACAATACGGAGGGTGACCTCGTTTCGGCATCACCATGGTCATCCTTCGATATTTTTCTGTCTATGCATACTGTCAAACATAGTAGCTTAGGGTTTTGAGGCAAGCAATGTGTGAAGAGAGATTTTGGCCAAGAAAGGGGGTTGAACTATAGAATGCGAGTACAAGATATAAGAGATGTGAGGTGGTGACGGGAGGCAGACCACCTAACGACAAGATAGGGTGATACTACACTAACTAGCGATGCATGTTATATTATGAATCTCCCCCTTAATTGCATGCAAGTGTAGCTAGTGTAGGGGCTCATCGAAAGACAAGAATCACCGTGCCGACAGCTGGGCCCACCGCCGGTTACGGAGGCTTGCCCGCCTGCAGTTTAACCCCCGCAGTGGATGCCCGGTGTGTGCGCGCGACGAGGAACAATGGCGCCTAGATACAACGGATAGAGAATAGACAAGGAAACCAGAAAATGCGAACCTCTCTCTCTCTCTCTCTCTCTCTCTCTCTCTCTCTCTCTCTCTCTCTCTCTCTCTCTCTCTCTCTCTCTCTCTCTCTCTCTCTCTCTCTCTCTCTCTCTCTCTCTCTCTCTCTCTCTCTCGCTCTCAAGCGGTCCTTCATTGATATGGTTCATAAGGTACAGGCATGGCAGGGGCGGGTGCTAACAGGTATGCAAGACCTAGGCAAGCAAGCAAACAGGTTGAGAAGCAAACGAGGCACCAACAGGTATGCCAGAACATAGAGAGCTAGGCCAATGAGTGGCAGGCCGAGAGGACACCTTGAAATAACTATCTGAACTATCCTTGCCTCCAACTCTACACCCCTCACTCCGCATCCCCTATCTCCATAGTCTAGCCCACCCCCATGTCGTCCTCAAGCACCTGGTAGAGGTCCCCTAGGCTCGGCTCCCAAGGGTCCACCGGGGCTTGAGCATAGGCCGCCTCTGCTGCCATGTTGCTTTTGTTGAGGAACGAGATGGCCTGCGAGCGCTGCAGCATGACCGACCACCTCTGCCTGTAGTGTGCAGTGAGGCGGCTGGCCGTGGTGGTAAGAGGCCCTTGGCGGTATTTCTTCTTGGCCGTTGCCACCGCCAACAACCGAAGGTACTGGACTGTGTCTGTGGCTAGCGCACCGTAGGTCTCTACCGCCAAACCGAAGAAGCCTACGTAGTCCGGACGCCCCTCGTATAAGCGGTGCTTCTTCTCAGATGCCTCCCGTGCCGCCCATCCAGGTGGCTTCCTAACCCGAGGGTCCCGCTTCTGGAGGACAGGGTCTGTTACAGTGACATCCGTAACCCATGTCTCGGCCGACTCCCTATCCTGGAAGGCCAAGTCTGCCCGCTTGCGCAGTACGGGGGGAGAAAACACCGAGGTCTCGTGAAACGTGTTGAAGCCCGCCTCCTTCGTCATCCTGAGGGCCGCGTGCACTAGGCTGTTGTGAGTTCTCACCACATCCCCTCCTACCCCACAGCGAAGTAGGTGATTGGCAAGGCTGGTGTCTGAAATACTGGAACCGTTCTTCTTGCAGGGGCACGTCACTGTGACTGGTAAGGCAAGGCGGAGGCGGAATCCTAGTGCCATCGAGAACTGACCAGGGGATAATGTAAGGTCAGATCTCGTTGGCACCGCATGTAGCCAGTCACCCGCCCCTGTTCCCTTTAAACTGACTAGCCGCACTCCATGCCCACACTCCTCCCCCGGCCTATCCACCATTGTGTCTGCGAGGAGCTCCGCTGCTCTCCTTGTGTTGATGTGCTGGGACAGAATCACCTGCAAATTTCCCTGCCCTGGCGGGCCTGTTCTGTAGGCCTGCAGGGCCGTGTTGGCAACTGCCGGCAGGGACGCTTCGAGGGCTACCAGCCTGTTCACCAGCGGCGGATCAGGTGCCCAGTCATGAGAGAGGAGCACGGTAGCTCTGCTCAGGAGGTGCACCTCGGACAGGTGCATCTGGTGTAGCAGTTGCCGTGCCGCCGTCACTGAGGCGATGTACGCCGCTGGGGCTTCTGAGATAGGGTCGACGATGCCCAGGCCGCCCAAGCGCACAGGTAAAGTCGCCTGCCGCCAGAGCAGGCTCCGTTCCAGCTCCGTGGTAGGGATTCGTAGCATCGCCGCAGCAAGTGAGGCACCGACCAAGGACTCACCCCAGGCCCTCCACTCGTCCCTATCTAGTGTCTCGCTCGGTGTTGTGCGCAGGAGGTAAGAGATGCGGCGGGAGATGCTGCGGGAGAGGAGGAGAAGCGCGTGCAGGGGGTGAAGCTGTGCGATGAGAGGCACTGGAGCCGACGCTTTAACAAGCTCCGCACGGATCTGGTCACAGCAGAACTCCGGAGTTCCTATGGGGCTCCCCAGCACTCGTATCCCCTCCGTGCTCATCACCAGCCCGTGTGGCAGCTCTGTGTTCCCCTCAACCCCTACTGATCTGCTCCAGGCCGAGGATTTGGTGATGTTGCATCGCAGCCTGCACTTCGCTAGTTCCGTCACGATAATGTCGAACACCTTGCAGGCCGCATCCATGGGGCCGACAATGGTGATATCGTCCGCGTAGGCGACTACTGCTACCTCTGGGACGAGAGATTCCGCGCTCTGTAGGGTAGGCTGGATGGCTGCTGCGAACAAAAGCGGGCCAAGAGGGTCCCCTTGGCGGACTGCGCGTGAAGAGGTGATGTGCTCCACGCCTAGTCGCGGATCGACGAGAAGGCGTGACGGCCCATCATAGAGCGTGCCGACCAACGGTAGCAGCTGGTGCAGGTCTGTCTGTGAGAGCGTCCTGAAGAACACCGCACGTTTGACGCTATTGAACGCGTTTTCCACGTCTAGCTGTAGGGCAACATAGCTGTCGTTCTCTTGTAGCAGCGACCGCACTGTGTGGATGATGCATTCAGCGCCTCCCGGCACCGACACACCGTATTGCACTGGAAGAAAGAACTCGCGGATCGTGGGCGCTAGTCCCTTCAACGCCATTTTTGCTGCCACTCTAAGTAAAGCTTCGCCTATCGCGATCGGGCGGATGCCTCCTCCGGGTTTCTCCAAAGTGATTAAACGGGACGGGAGGATGAATCCCCGAACCGCCTGTGTCTGCTTGCCATTGAGTAGGTTGCGAATGACCTGGGTAAGTAGGCATAGCACCTCACTGCTGCAGTGTGCTGGGTCCTTGAGGTGTACAAAGCAAGTCCCTCTCTCTCTCTCTCTCTCTCTCTCTCTCTCTCTCTCTCTCTCTCTCTCTCTCTCTCTCTCTCTCTCTCTCATCCCCCATTAACCTCTCTCATCCCCCCATAACCTCTCTTCTCTCCCCCCCCCACAGCAATAAGTGCTGCACGTAGAGAGGAAGAAAGAGGGGAGGGACGTGCTACAGGCTGCTCATACCCGCCACCCCCACATCTCCCCCTCCCCCCCCCATGACGGAAGCCGCAGAAGGGAGGGCGGGGGGAGGGAGGGGGGGGGAGGGGGGGGGAGGGGGGGGAGGGGGGGGGGGGGGGGACGTTAGCCGCTGCCGGCGCTGGTCATTTGCGCTGGCGCTGGTGCTGGTGCTGGTGCTGGCGCTGGCGTTGGCGGCAGTCGCAGGCGTCTGACGCTGGCGCTCATTGCTGGCGTCCGCGCTGGCGCTGGCCGATCGCGAGGCGGCGGGGGGGCGCGGGGCGATGAAACGGCGCGGGGCGGTCAGGGGGGGGGGGGGGGGGGTGCAAGGCGCGACGGAGAGGGCAACACGGGCGCGACGAGCAGGGCACAACGGGCGCGACGGGATGGCCTTCGCAGTGCGAAATGGGGGGCCTTCCGAGAGCGAAACGCGAGACCCGCGGGGGTCGTCCATGGGGCGATTTGGGGGACCCGCGGGGCGCATTACGGGCTGCGCGATGGGTGGGGTCATTTGCGCTAGGATAGAACCTGCTCTCATACCATGTCAAAAAAAGTAGCTTAGGGTTTTGGGGCAAGCAATGTATGAAGAGAGAGTTTGGCCAAGAAAGAGGGTTGAACTATAGGATGAGAGTACAAGATATACGTGAGGGGAGGTGGTGAAGGGAGGTAGACCACCTAACGACAAGATACGGTGATAATACACTAACTAGCAATGAATGTAATTATATAAGAATGTTATATTCTGACACATACCATTTGGTGGCGCTTTTCTGGGCCTATTGCCAAGCCAGCAAGGGCGTGGGAGGGTTGCGAGCATCACGACACTCACGAATGAAGAGCGCCCGCTGCACTTCCTCCACATGTGCGGATCCTTGCGCGTTTTGAGGCTAGAAGCGCTCGTTACGAGCGTTTTTCTTCCACCACGTCACGTGGCTGCGCTTGTCTGGGCTTATTGCCAAGCCAGCAAGGGCGTGGGAGGGTTACGAGAATCATTGGTCATCAGCGTTGGCAAATGAGGAGCGCCCGCTGCACTTCCTCCACATGTCCAGATCCTTGCGCATTTTGAGGCTGTAAGCGCTCGTTCCGAGCGTTTTTCTTCCACCGGGTCACGTGGCTCCGCTTGTCTGGGCCTATTGCCAAGCCAGCAAGGGCGTGGGAGGGTTGCGAACATCATTGATCATCGGCGCTCGCAAAGGAAGAGCACTCGCGAATGAAGAGCGCTCGCAAATGAAAGGCGCTCGCTGCATTTCCTGCACATATGCGGATCATTGCGCATTCTGAGGCTAGAAGCGCTCGTTTCGAGTGTTCTTCTTCCAAGAGGTCATGTGGTTGCGCTTGTCTGGGCTTATTGCAAAGCCAGCAAGGGCATGGGTGGGTTGCGAGTATCAATAGTGATCGGCGCTTGCGAATGAAGAGCGCTCGCTACACTTCCTGCGCATGTGCGGGTCCTTGCGCGTTTTGAGGCTAGAAGCGCTCGTTCCGAGCGTTTTTCTTCCACCAGGTCACGTGGCTGCGCTTGTCTGGGCCTATTGCCAAGTCAGCAAGGGCATGGGAGCGTCGCGAGCATCATTCGTCATCAGCGCTCGCGAATGAAGAGCGCCTGCTGCTCTTCCTCCACATGTGCGGATCCCTTCCGCGTTTTGAGGCTTGAAGCGCTCGTTCCGAGCATATTTCTTCCACCGGGTTACGTGGCTGCGCTTGTCTGGGCCTATTGACAAGCCAACAAGGGCATGGGAGGGTTGCGAGCATCAGATGCTCCCACGCACTTGCTGGCTTGGCAATAGGCCCAGACAAGCGCAGCCACGTGACCCGGTGGAAGAAAAACGCTCACAACAAGCGTTTCTAGCCTCAAAACACGCAAGGATCGGCACATGTGCAGCGGGCGCTCTTCATTCGCGAGCGCCGATGACCAATGATGCTCGTAACCCTCCCACGCCCTTGCTGGCTTGGGAATAGGCCCAAACAAGTGCAGCCACGTGACCCCGTGGAAGAAAAACGCTCGGAACGAGCGCTTCCAGCCTCAAAACACGCAAGGATCCGCACATGTGGAGGAAGTGCAGCGGGCGCTCTTCATTCGTGAGCGTCGATGACCAATAATGATCGCAACCCTCCAACGCCCTTGCTGGCTTGGCAATAGGCCCAGACAAGTGCAGCCACGAGACCCGGTGGGAGAAAAACGCTTGGAAAGAGCGCTTCTAGCCTCAAAACGCGGAAGGGATCCGCACATGTGGAGGAAGTGCAGCGGGCGATCTTCATTCGCGAGCGCTGATGACCAATGATGCTCGCAACCCTCCCACGCCCTTGTTGGCTTGGCAATAGGCCCAGAGAAGTGCAGCCGCGTGACCCAGTGGGAGAAAAACGCTTGGAACGAGCGCTTCTAGCCTCAAAACGCGGAAGGGACCAGCACATGTGTAGGAAGTGCAGCGGGCGCTCTTCATTCGCGAGCGCCGATGACCAATGATGATCGCAACCCTCCAACGCCCGTGCTGGCTTGGCAATAGGCCCAGAGAAGCGCAGCCACGAGACCCAGTGGGAGAAAAACGCTTGGAAAGAGCGCTTCTAGCCTCAAAACGCGGAAGGGATCCGCACATGTGGAGGAAGTGCAGCTGGCGCGCTTCATTCGCGAGCGCCGATGACCAATTGTCAGAATGTTATAATTGTCTAGCCTGAAGTGGGGTACTTTATAGCGAGTACAACCCAATTAGGGTTTCCTAAATGTTTGCCAAATGCTGCTAGTGCAACCCCCTCTCTTCTTCATTCCTCATTCTTCACATGCTTTCAGAGCATCTACGCTCCTGGCCTGTGGGCCCACCTAACTGCTTCCGCTGCTACTCTGTGTGCTCCACGCCCCGTGGCGTGCGACGGAATTTTCCTTCCCGTCGGCCGCAAACTTGTCGAGCACTCCTAGAGGCCCCTCTCACGGCCCCTCGCGCGACCCTTAGTGGCCCCGTCGCCACCCCTCGCAGCCCCGTCGCCGCCCTTCTCGGCCCCTCGCGGCCCCTTCGCGGCCCCGTTGCCGCCCTTCCAGGCCCCTAGCGGCCCCTTCGCGGCCCCGTCGCCACCCCTAACTGTGAGGATCTAGGATCGAGCTCAGAAAAGTGAATGAGAATTGAGTCGAATTGAATGATCACCTGGGTATAACACGAGGCTATATATAGGCTCGACACAAGGCCCCGTAACCAGGTGTTACGCGAATGTTCCGCGGGTCGCGAAGCGTCCCGAACAGATCCTTACCGAACTCGGTAGAAGGCAATTCGGTGGCAACCGAAAAGACCAGAATTCGGTGCACGCAACATAGCTCGGTGCTATAACTATAATAAAATATAGGAAAGCACCTAGCCTAGGCAATCAAGCAATTCATGCATGCATATGATTTTCCTACGCTAGAAATAGCATGATAAAGTAAAGGCAAGCAAGCATAGCTGGCATAAGCCGTCGTACTCTCACACGTCCCCCCCCTCAAAGCTGGGTGGCGTGAGATACACCCTGCTTGACAAGATAGTCCTTGAGAGCACGGCGTGCGTTGCCCATATCAGCTTCTGCAACCCAACTGTCCTCAGTGGGGTCGTATCCCTTCCAGCGTATCAGGAACTCGAAGGTCTTGTCGCCGCGGCGCCGATGAGAGAGAACGCGCTCAATCTCGTACTCGGGTTCATCCTGCACAAGAACAGGTGGAGGTGGCGGTAGCTGCCGTCCCTGAAATTGTTGGTTGGGGTCCTTGTAGGGTTTCAGTAGCTGCACATGGAAAGCATTGTGAAGTTTCCAAGTAGGAGGTAAGCGCAAGCGGAATGTAACTGGTGTCACCTGTGCCTCAACGAGAAAAGGACCACAGAAGCGAGGCCGGAGTTTGGATGGGAGGTGAGACAGGTTCAAGTTGCGCGTGTCAAGAAGCACCAGATCTCCGACTGCTACTGAGTGATCTCGTCGCTGACGATGGGCATACTGCTTCTGGGAGTTCTGCATCGTGGTGAGACGTCGCTGAGTTTTCCCCCATAGCTGCTACATGGTGGTGACGAAGTCATGTGCGGCTTGAACGTGTGCCGGTGTAGTTGGCTGCTGTGGTGTGAGTGGTTCCCGTTCGTAACACAAGAAGAAAGGAGTTTTCCCTGTGGCCGCATGTGATGCGTTGTTGTAAGCAAACTCTAGGGTCGGTAACTGTGTGTCCCAGTGGCTGACATCGTCCTTGCAAGCTGTGCACAGTAACTGTTCAACCACTTGATTGAGTCGCTCTGTCTGTCCGTCAGTCTGGGGGTGGTATGCTGAAGACATTGCAAGCTTTGTCCCCAACAATCCCATGAGCTCCTTCCAGAACTTACTGGTGAATTTTGGGTCTCTGTCTGAGATGAGTGTAGCGGGGATGCCGTGGATGGTGATGATGCGGTCGAAGAAGAGGCGAGCAGTTGCTTCAGCTGTAGCTGTGGCGTCGGTATGAAGTGACCCATTTTGGAGAACTTATCGATGACTACGAGGATGGAATCGTGCCCCCGTGAGGTCGAAGGAAGTCCTGTGATAAAGTCGAGGCTAACGACCTGCCATGGTTGCTCCGGTACGGGTAGAGGCTGAAGTAACCCTGCTTTTTTCTGCTTGCTGCTCTTTATCCGCTGGCA